TCAACAAATAAAAAACTGACATGGTAATATTATATTACAACAATGTCAGTGGTTAGTATGCAAACCTGTGAAGAGTCTACATACCCAGTGAATGTTGATCTAATTAAAGTATTTTACCCATTTTCTAATTTCCTGGAATACGACGATAGAAGCTGCAACAGCAAAGGGTCTGTACTAAGAAACTATTGTGGCATATGCTTCTGTGGACAACAGGCCACTTCCATAAGTTGCTTGAAGTGTTTTCCTGAGTGATACACACACACACACACACACACACACACACACACACGGAGGAGGGAGATGTGGGGGACAGGGAGGAACTGTAAACAGTATGGTTTGAATTTCATTTTCCTATGACCATGGATAAGCAATTAGTCTTTAAGGTGCCCCAATGCTTGCTCCCGCCCTGCCCTGCCCCCACCCCCAATATTGAGAATTTTCTGGGAAGTTATGCATTTCATTTTTTTAACCCACCCTCACAGCACTGAAATCAACAACAATAATCATAAATAATAATTTCACACATCATTTTAACCCAAAATTTATAGGAGCTAGGTTTTGTTGATATCCTGGTCTGGGCAACCTCAACAAACAAGATTCAGAGGGCTTACACTGATTAATCCCAGTGTTAACATCATTCCTAAAATATAACCATCAGCCACACATCTATCTTAAGCAAAGTCTCCTTAACAGATAAGATCGCCTCCAAAGCACGCAAATAGATCAACAAAGTAATTTCTGCTCGCTATGTGAACCTGGTACATTACTCTACCTCAGTATAGGCTTCTGTTTGCTGCATATTCTAAAAAGAGCTTACACAAATCACAAGCAATATTTACACACCTGTGTTAAGAAGAAGAAGGGAAAACATTCTAACAATATTTTGTGTCACTTGAACATTACTTTGCCTCTAGCACTCTCCATAACAGGAGGAAAGGAAGTAGTAACACAATTTCTATGCATGCATAGTTTGGGTAAATCTGAAGTTAACAGAACCCTTCACAAAATATCTTGCAAGTTTTCATTAACTGAGGGAGAATCACTGTTGAAAAGCATTGTGAGACAGTGCACGCCTACAGACACCTATCTAATCTGGATCAGTCACAATCTTTGATCCTGTTGTGATACTTTGATGTTTAGGCAGTGAAGGCAAGGAGAACAAAACGTTCCTGCAATACTTTGTAGAGGTAGATAAAGACTTTCTAGATCTCATTACTGTAGCAGATTGAATTTAGCACACAATGCACAATTTGTGTCCTACAGTACTAGCTTAGAAAAATGAAGCATGTCCCTCCTACAACAACAGGACAGTTTCTCTTCTGAAACACTAGCCCACTTAGAAACAAAATTCAGCTGTAGCCCTAATAGTCCACCTGACACACTGTGTTTTGGTATTATTGAAAGCAAGTTTGCTTTGTAACTCACTGCCTGGAAAGCAGCCCCACAAACTGGTCTTGAACATCAGAGCAGCACTGCTGGATCAGGCCAAAGGTCTACCTAGTCCAGCATCCCTTTCCCCATAGTGGTTAGTAAGATGGCAATGGGAAGCCCCCCAACAGACCATGTGTGCAACAACACTCTCTTGCTCATGGTCCTCAGCAACTGGTATTCAGAGGTAGGCTGCCTCTAATGCAGCACACAACCATTATGACTAGTAGCCATTGATAGCCTTATCCTTCCTGAATTTGCCTCGTCTCTTTCTAAAACCATCTCCATATCTTGTGGTTGCAATGTGTGAAGTTTTGCTTTTTGTCTGCTCCGAACCTCTTGCAGGAAGAGCAGCTTTTATCCACTTCCTTCACACCATGCACACAGACCTTTACAGTGGCTGCACACATTCCTTAGTTCTCTTTCTCCAGAGCCCCAAACATAAACTTTCCTTGCAAGGAAGTTCACCAGTCCCTTCATAGCCCTTTTCCACACCCTGTTTTTCTAGCTAGATTACTGGTTTATGCGCCAGCTCCAACTTCTGAAACAGACAGTCTAATGGCAGACTTTAAAAAAAGCAAGCAGACACTGTGTTTTAAAGTTATTAAAAGTTTGCTCATAGTAGTATGACAACAGACCTTCTTTGTAGGGAACAGAATGCTGAACAAGACAGGCAGATATATACTCCAACAGGGCAGCTCTTGCCTTTGTTACCACATCCAATTAGCTTAGCACAAATTTACATTGCAATGTTGAGCAAATCATGTTCCTGAGGCAAGACGAGGAGAATTACCCAAGAAAAAACAGACTGTAATGTAAATTCCCAAAAGTTGTTTCCATTCTCTCATGGAATTCTAGACCTCTATCAACGTAGCTTTTGACACTTCAATCTCTCAATTAAAAGAATTAATGCATACAAAGGAAAAAGCATGGTAAAGAGAAAGCACACTCTTTTCTTGCAATGGGCAAAACAGGAGTGGAAACCAAAACAACATGCTGACTTGGAGGAGCTTCAGATTTTCCACCATAAACTTACTTTTATAGCTCTTTTGCAAAGAAGATTTGCCGTTAACTACTTTGGCTAATTTGGGGTCACACCCAAGACAATTGTTGATACCTACTTGAAAACTGCTACCATGCAAGAGAAGACAGAATCTCACATTCTTTGCAACGCAAATTCAGTACATTTTTTTAACGTCTCCTCCTACACTAAATCAACCCCCACTTGCCCCTCTCACAAGCCTCCAGAGCAGGCTTCCTCAACCTTGGCCCTCCAGGTGTTTCTGGCCTACAACTCCCATGATTCCTAGCTAGCAGGACCAGTGGCCAGAGATGATGGGAACTGTAGTCTCAAAACATCTGGAGGGCCGAGGTTGAGAAAGCCTGCTCCAGAGAATACAGGCTTCCTCTCCAGTGCAACACATCCTCCCCTCACAGTTCCTGGGTAGTTAAAGCATGCATAGGCAAACTTGGCCCTCCAGATGTTTTGGGACTACAACTCCCATCATCCCTAGCTAACAGAACCAGTGGTCAGGGATGATGGGAGTTGTAGTCCCAAAACAGCTGCAGGGCCGAGTTTGCCTATGTCTGAGTTAGAGCCTTAGACTTGAATCTGAATGCCCCTACTCAAGCACAATTTGAATATGATGTTAGGACAGGCACCATCTCTACCTGAACTGCAATTACTGGATGGGTGGGTGTGGACAAAAGGTCTCCGTCCCTTACTTTTTATGACATGCATTGTTTTTAACATGGCTATATAGGGAAGATTGTTCAGCTAATAAGGGTGAGGGGATCATGGAGCTGGGGGCCATGGTTTTTATGAAAGCCCCCCCCCCATTGCCTTCTCCGCTGCTAATCAACTGCCACTGCTAACCTACCTCACAGGGTTGCTATGAGGATAATCCTACCTCATAAGGGCTGAGTATGGGACAACCATCCTCCAAGTCCTTACAGGAAGGGTAGGAATTATTTTTTGAGTATTTGTAGTAATAGTATTAATCAATGGTGCAGAAGAATGGAAGCACAGCTCCATGACTTTTTTCACAACACGGCAAATGATATCATGTGACAGAGGGCAAGGGCAATTGGCAGGCAAGGGAATGAGGTGATGATGAGGCTTCCAAGTTTTACTACTTTTTGTAACACATTAGCACAGAGGAAGTCAGAGCATGAGAAAAATAATCAAGCAGAGACTGGACTCCAACTCCCATCAGCCCTAGCTAGCAAGAGCAACAGCTGAGGATGGTGGGGGTTACAGTCCCGGGAGTTCTTTGTGCAGGCAATCACAATGAGCTCCTACAGCTGAAAATTTACCACTGCATGGCAACTGGTATCCATTTATAACCAACGTTTTGATACATAAGCTCTCTATGAACTTGTGAGCACACTATTAATGCAAAAAAGCACACTCAATCAATCAGAACAAAAAAAGAAACCAGTAAAATCGCTTCCCAAGATTAGGACACCCCATGCCCAGTGCTTGCCCAGTGACACGGTTAACTCTCCTCCACAGGAGTTGCATGCAGGGCGGCAGCACTCTGGACTCTGCGCTGAAGGGGTGGCATTAGAAGGAGATGCTCTCACCACCCCTACCTGCCTCTTGCAGCTTCTGCACACACATCCACTCACAAGCAAGCCCCATTATCTCCAACTTTGGTGAGCCAGTAACCATTTCTCAGCCTAGCCTACCACACAGCTGCTCATTTGGCCACTTCAACTGGCGGAACTGGCACTACTGTAGGTGCCACTTAATACTTGTTTAAGGCAGCAACACCTAAACTTTGGAACTCCCTGCCTAGTGAGATCAAGCAGGCGCTTTGATCTCTGACTGCGGAGGCTAATAAAAACATGGCTGCTTAGACAAGCCTATCTGGATGCTTAAAAGGTTGCGGTGATTTTAATCTACTTTTAGTATTTTAACTTTTGTACGTTTTCACAGTAGAATTGAGAGTTTTCCCTCGGTTTTACCGTTTTACCTCTCGTAAACCACTTTGCGAAAGAAATTTAACTGTGGAGCTGTGCTTAAATCTTATGAGAGAAATAAATAAATAATCACCACCAGGTTGTTGCGAGGATCAAATTGGGGAGGGCAAAGAAGTGTGCAGCGCCTTGGAGAAAAGGTGGCCGGAAACTAGACAACAAACAAACCAAGGCTTGCTCCAACTAGCCAAAATAAGATCAGTAGTAGTAGTAAATAACAGACGCTCCGAGGGTCCCTATTTTCCCAGATTTACAGAAGCCATCCTGATTTCTGATTTGACCCCACAATGACCCTCTTTTCCTCAGAACATCCCTATTTTCATAGGGAAAACGTTGGAGGGTCTGGAGTTATGGGACCCCCCTGAGCCAAGGCCATAAGTAACTATGCACCTTTCAGAAGGCAGGTTTCTCTCGTTTAATGTTTTATTAACATTTTTATGTGTGTTGGAAGCTGCCCCGAGTGGCTGGGGCAAACCAGTCGGGTGGGCGGGGCATTTATTATTTATATTTATATTGTTGCTGCTGCTGTTATTATTATTATCGCCCCTCTTTCCATCCGAGGGTATGCAATGTGGGCGCCCCCTCCTCACCTGTAGGCGAGGCTCATGCACTCGAAGAGCTTGGTGAGCGAGGCGTCGATGCTGAGGCGGCCTCCCCCGCCGCCCTCGCCCGCCGCGCCGCCTCCCCCGCCGGCCCCCGCGGCCGCGCCGAAGCGGTACGTCTGGCAGGTCTGCTCGTTGACGGTGTCGAAGTCGTAGCCCTTCTTGGGCGGGTGCTCGCTGTGCGGAGACGACACCATGAAGTGGCCCGAGTGGATGATCTGCGCCGCCGCGACGCCCGGCCGCTTGCCCGGCGCCCCCCGCCGCCGCCCGCCCCCGGGGGGGCCCACCACGCCGCAGCGCCCGCGAGGGGCCGACACAGCGCCGCCGCCAGCCTCCTCCTCGCTGTCCTCCGACGAGGAGAGCCCGGCCGCCTCCGCCCGCCGCGACAGGGGCGCCGCGGCCCCCGGACCGGGAGAGGCCGCCTCCAGCCCCGGGAAGCGGCCCGCCCGGAGGAACACGCCGGCCGCCATCGCAGAGCAGCTGAAAGAGGGCCCCCGCCGGCTCTGCCTGCCCCGTCAGGGCCGAGTGGAGCTCCTCGGCCGGCCCGCCCCGCCGTTGCCGCCTCCCTCCCCGCCTGGCCCCGCCTGCCGCCTCCGCCGCCACCTCGGCCGGGCTGGGAAGGGGCGGAGCGGGGCGCCTGGGAGCCTCGTCGGCTGTGCGCGCCCTGCCGCTTGGCCTCGCCTCACGCAGCAAGGCGGCCGGTAGGGATTTCTTTTATTTATTAGACTTGTGTATGCCGCCCTTGCTCTGCGGATCTCAGGGCGGCTCACAGCACACAAACGCACGAGGGAAACACGAACAAAGCGGACCCATCACCTCCCCGCCCCCAAAGCCAGCCAGAAAAGCACATTTGCAACTCCCTGCAACCAGAAAAGTACATTTGCAACTCCCTGCAACCAGAAAAGCACATTTGCAACTCCCTGCAACCAGAAAAGCGACTGTAGATGGAAAGAGGCGGCTTGAAGCCACACTTGCCAGCTGGGGGGGGGTGCAGCTTGAATAAATTATGTTTTTGGGATGGGGATGGGGGGTAAACTCCGCCCCACATAATCGAGCATATGAAATAGTGCGCACACCCCATTTGAACGGCAAGGTCCATCAACTGGGGGGGGGAGGGGCCCCCTCAAATATTATATTGCAATTGGCTCCCATGATTGCCAGCAGCCCCACTGAAATAGGAGGACACGCAGCGATACCATTGAAGCATATTCGTAGCAATGTCTTTACCGCAGAGAATCCTGGGCGCTGTAGTTTACCCCTCATGGGGTCGCAGCTCCCAGCAAGCCTTATGCAAACTACCATGCCCAGAGCTCTTTGAGGCAGGGAGGGGAGAATGTGCATGCAGTCACGCATGCAGAATGTGCCAACTTAGCGCCATCCATTTTAATGGGTCTGCTCAAAGTATGACTTTGGCCGCATCCGCATCATACATTTGAAGCTCTGTGATTCTACGTTAAAGTTACAGTTCTCTTTCCCCCACTTGGCCCCACTTTCCAGGAAACTGGGAATTTTAGCTCTGGAAGGGAACTGTTGTTGTTGTTTAGTCGTTTAGTCGTGTCCGACTCTTCGTGACCCCATGGACCAGAGCACGCCAGGCACCTCTGTCCTCCACTACCTCCCGCAGTTTGGTCAAACTCATGCTGGTAACCTCGAAAACACTATCCAACCATCTCGTCCTCTGTCGCCCCCTTCTCCTTGTGCCCTCCATCTTTCCCAGCATCAGTGTCTTCTCCAGGGAGTCTTCTCTTCTCATGAGGTGGCCAAAGTGCTGGAGCCTCAGCTTCACGATCTGTCCTTCCAGTGAGCACTCAGGGCTGATTTCCTTAAGAATGGATGTGTTTGATCTTCTTGCAGTCCATGGGACTCTCAAGAGTCTCCTCCAGCACCATAATTCAAAAGCATCAATTCTTCGGCGATCAGCCTTCTTTATGGTCCAGCTCTCACTTCCATACATCACTACTGGGAAGACCATGGCTTTAACTATACGGACCTTTGTTGGCAAGGTGACGTCTCTACTTCTCAAGATGCTGTCTAGGCCTGTCATTGCCCTTCTCCCAAGAAGCAGGCGTCTTTTAATTTCGTGGCTGCTGTCACCATCTGCAGTGATCATGGAGCCCAAGAAAGTAAAATCTCTCACTGCCTCCATTTCTTCCCCTTCTATTTGCCAGGAGGTGATGGGACCAGTGGCCATGATCTTCGTTTTTTTGATGTTGAGCTTCAGACCATATTTTGCGCTCTCCTCTTTCACCCTCATTAAAAGGTTCTTTAGTTCCTCCTCACTTTCTGCCATCAAGGTTGTGTCATCTGCATATCTGAGGTTGCTGATATTTCTTCCGGCAATCTAGGGAACTAGGGGTGTCCTAATCACTCTCACTTCACTACAGCTCCCAGAATTCTCTGAGGGAACACTTTACTGTTTAACGTGGAATCATAGCACCTTTAATGCATGGTGTGAATGTTACCTCAGTGAGACACAACCCAGCCAGATTAAAAAAGGCACCAGCTAAATTATAACACAGGAAGGTTGTTGGCCTAGGACAGGGGTCAGCAACCCGCGGCTCCGGAGCCGCATGTGGCTCTTTTACACCTTTGCCGCGGTTCCGGGGCGGATACTAGCGAGGGGAGGAGGCGCATTGTGCGCCCCGACACTCCCCACTGTGGCGGGCGCTGTACTGGCTTTGACGTCGCATGGGGGCGGTGCGTGCCTTAGTCACGCACCTTCCCGACGTCACCTTCCCGCCCGCCCGCTACATTGTAAGGGGCATGTACGCTGGTCACTGTTTTGAAGGGGAGTGAAGAACACACACACACAAAAAGGTAACTTGTTAATTTAACGTTTATTTCTATGAGGAGGAGTAATTCTGAGGGGTCAAACAAAGAAATAATAAAAAGTGACAAAAAAGTTATTTTTAAAATGACGAGTTTTGCGGCTCCGGTTTTTTTTCCTTCGGAAACAGGTCCAAGTGGCTCTTTTTGTCTTAAAGGTTGCAGACCCCTGGCCTAGGGCAAAAGATCCTATGGGTGGGGGATAAGCTATCTTGCCTAGCCAAAGAATTCCATCTATTTTATTTCTGCTGTGTGAATAGGTCCTGGTGCCATTATGAATGTGGAAAGTGCTTTTATCTGTAGTATTTAAATTATCATTATTTTATTGTATTTTTTATTGTGAATCACCCTGAAGTATGCTTGTGTGAAGGGTGGCACATATAAAACTTAAATAAAATATTTAAGTGTCTCACTAGGAGAAGTTGTGTTGGCAAAGCAACCTCTTTCAGTTGTCAATAAGTTTGTGCCACAACTCATGGAACAGTGTTCCACAGAAGCGGCCTTGTTAAGTCTATTTGCAGCAAAAAGGAAAGGGACATAGTGGCTTAGAGCACCTCAAAGGGTAATTTATTAAAGCACCAATTTTAGTCCCCCAAAGCTTTCAACACAAAAGTCTTGTCAGCCTGCCAAGGTGCCACAAAACTTTGAGTGATCTGTACCACCAACCTACAGATAGCCTTATAGGCCTGGTCAACACTGAGATCCTAGGTATGTTTACTCAGAAGTCCCATTGGGATAAATGCCTTACTATCAAGTGCTTAGACTGTAGGAAACTGCCTTAATGTAGCTAGACCACAGGCCCATCTACAGAATGGCACCAGCTTTTCAGACCAGGTTCCTTCCCAGCCCAACATGCCAAAGACTGAATCTAGGACGTTCTGGATGCAAATAATGTTGCTCTATGTTGCTTACTACAGTCCTTTCCTAAGGCATGTGAAAGCTATCACACTCAAACTTTTGAATCAACTAATTTCTTATTCAAAAGATTGCTCACACAGCATTTTGTGTTGTGACTTTAAAGTTTATTTTTTTAATGAAACCATTGTACATTGTACAAACCATAGCTACTGATGGAATAAATAAGTGAAAAATGATACTGCTGTACAACACACAAAATCATTAAGATGGAAAAACAATTAGGTAATGAAATAAACCCACAAAATTCTTTACACCTTCTAGCAGGGCTTTAGATATAAAGAACATTCTAAAACATGACAATGTTTCTGTATGAAGCAAGCTACCACAAAAGCCAGTAATTTTTATGCTGCCTCACTGATTGGTTGTTGTTGTTGTTAAGTGCCAGCACTTTTTGGAATGTTAACTATTCCCCCACCCATAAGAACTCCAAAATGAACAGTTCTGCTATAAAATGTTTTGACTGTGTAAATTGCCCAGCTAGAAGGCCTCCCTCCTCACCCCATAACCCACAAAGATCAATTATCTTGCTAGCTTATGTATACAGATGTAGTTTGAGAGTAACTGAGTGTCCAAATGCCCAGTGTGTCGATAAGGAAGCACTTCTTGATATTCAGGCTATTTCTAAAAAAAATGTCAGATTCAACCCACCAACCACTGATGCTGCATGACCTCCACTGAAATGAGCACAGATTGCACAGCTGTGTGTGTGGTGGACACCGTCTATTGCCTGCCTGAGAATTTCCAGTCACTGAGATGCAAGATGTGTTGACTCGCCCTCTCTCCTCACCTCTTCCCCACTGCTATCAATACAGGCTTTTCCATGCAAGCCCATAAAACAAAATCCCTAAAGATGGCAGCAAACCGAGAAGCTGGACCCAGTACCAAATCTCAAAGGTTGCAAGATCCCTTCCTTGCTGGTTGAATTTAAACTATAACTTTCAAGCATTAAAAATGTGTTTTGACTGCACATCCAAATGGCCTATCAAAAGGCAGAGTAGTTACAGTGTGCACCTTTTTAAATTTCTGCAAACCAAACAGCATCAAGATCCTCCTCTATCCTGATAAAAGGGTGCAGACTGACTCTAATGGGTGCAAGGAGTCCAATTCCATTTGCTTTTTCCAACCCCTATTTGTTGGCAGAGGATTCAAATATCTAACGTTGCAAATCAAAGCAGAGCCACTTAACCACTGTGGTTATGCTGGTTTTCTTTTTCTTGAGTCATGGAATAGCAAAATGATTGCACACTTCATCAAAGGCTACTGCCACCCATCTTTCATTTGCAGGTCTCAATTCACAAGTCAAGCACAAGCAAGCCCAACTGAAAGACACTGGGAATTGTGGCGGCAGCAAGCCTTAGTGAATGGCTGACACATAACTGAAGAAAGAAAGTACAGTAGGAATTAAGAAGCCAGTTTCATCACGAAGCTTATCAGTGTCAGTAATGCCAATAAACATTTCTACCTAATGAAAAAAATTGAGGTATTTTAGTGCTATTTATATTTTATTAAGTACAGGATTCAGCTCTGAAATTTAAAAAGCCTATCTACTTCCTTGGAAACTGTGTAAAACAAATAAAAAACACACAACCACAAAATTGAAGCTTCTACAGACAGCAACTACTGGGCATGACAACATATCAACAGTGGTTTCCAACCCACTGACATTTTAGCACTGATCAATTAAAAGCTACATAATTACAATTTTTTAAAGTTCAAAAATATATTTGTCTATGTCATAGATCAGCCAATATGTTTTCAAAAAACGAACCCTGGTTAAATATGGTT